TCCAATCATGTATAACAACTTCTCAATTGCTGAGGTTGGCAATGCCTTGTGAAGAAGTTTGCCAAATTATCACTTGAACAAATTTGTTTAACATCAATCATGTCTGAAATAAAACTTTAGTGAAATACGTTTTATTTTGTCTCCTTCGGTAGTCCTTCTTTCAATTGAGCTATGCATGCAGAATCATCTTCAATGTAATTAAAATCTTGTTGAATATCATAATTTGGCATTACGCTCACATCCAAATAGATTATCTGAACAACGAACCATGCCCTGCATTTGTATAACCAACATAACCTTGACAATATTTGTTAGAATAAACAAATCTACATCAAGTATTCCTTTTGAAATATAATACTAATTGTATTCCAATATCTCCACATTGGAATAAAACTATATCTTGCTAGCATATTGTTATACTCATGGTTCTAGCCAGATATATTAGTGCATCAATTGCACTAGACACAAAAATAAATCATGTACGCCATGATCGCTCTAATCTACATAAGGATCTGCCGAAGATTTATTTAATAAATTTCTTGGGAACCTTAATATGCTTCAGAACAATTTAAATCATTCAAGGATTTTCGTTATATGCATATCAAATGTATGTCAGACCCCCCACAGGAGAACATGTCTCCTAATACCAGGATATTTACGAAAATTTTGTGCCACAAGTCGTCTTTATGTCAATCGACTTGATTTTTTATTTCACTTTCAGGTGTGGGGACTATCCGTCCAACTTCACATTTTTCAGGTGAAGTCAATTTCATTGCATATTTTTCATTTGGCCAATCATTTATCTGTCCAAATTCCATGACAGATTTGAGCTCAAGATCCTCGTCAATATTAATAATATTGAGCGCTACATTATATTAACAACATCGTCAACGATCATTTTACATCGGTTCCATCATCGCACAATAAAGACATAACTTATCGAGATCTCATTATTTTTAGGTACCTGAGCCTCTCCCATGAGGTCTTATAAAATGTTATGTCATGGTGCTCTTATAAAGCACTTGCCTCCTTATTATGACCATCTTGAACATTTGCTCCCTCCTTCTTCAAGGAGTTTTATCTTTGGAACCGATTTGTCTATTACGCTTGATGCGTGCCATAGACACTGTCTATCATGAACTTTATTCCATTTGGAGCATTAGCAGCTGAAATATGACATTTAGCTTTGGGTCAGCAAATACGCCTGTCATAATTTTGCAAATGAATTATCACTTGAACTTCAAGTTCATATTTTCTTGTACGAGGATCTAAGTGTACTCATAATAATTCATTCCATGTATTACTTTTTCAACTGCTCATTTTCTCCCCCAAATATTGGGATCAACAACACATATCCCCAACCTTCTTTGGGGACCAATCTTTTTGCATTGTAATGGAATAATTATATCATATCGCACATCCATATTTCTATATAGAAATTATTTGGTTCCTGACCCTGAACCAATTGTGATAGGGAGAATTTATCATAACTTGTTGGCTAGATGCGTACAAGTGCTGTTGTATATTATATAATATACTTAATACAAAATTTCTATTTGAAGTTTTGTTCTCATAACCAATGGTTTAGCTATAATTGGAGGCATACAATTTCTGCTAAACCAGCTTGGATTTAAACCAGCATTATCAAGATAAATTATCATAATATATATTCTGGAATTGTGCTCTAATAATTTGAGCAAACAACCTTGCAAAAACCAAAGTGCAAGTTGATAACAAACGCACATGTGACCATACAATAGATGCATCTATTAAAATCATATAATAGTAAACGATCCACATGGCAGGTGATTGGGCCCATACATATATATCACCTTTTATTCGTTCCAGATATCAAGGGATTCAATCCCAACCTTAACTGGTATATCATGAGAAAAAAACATCACAAGAGAATTCTTAAAGAATCTTCTATTTCTTTAATATATGCCAATGTGAATTCTCAACCAATTTTCACATCATAACTGAACCGGGATGGTCAACCGGTCATGCCAACTAATATTTGTTTCAATAAACCTCTAGTTTACTTATGGCATGTGATTCCATCACGAATATAGTCTCAATATACCAACCACTTTGGCTAATATATTTGAAATTCAAAAAGTTCCTTTTTGAGACTTACTACCACCAATGCCATGAATAATTTTTTTTATTCCGGTAGTAACAAATTCGCTCTTTCGGAGCTCTCAATAATTTTGTACTACAAGATCTTTTATACCACCATCCAAGTGGTGAAATTTTCCTCCACGGAAAAAATTATCTTATCATTGTCACAATCAAAAACATTATAGACAAGACTCATTTCTTACTTTACTTTTGCCTTTAATAACTTTTTATAAGGCATGGTAAAATATTTTTGGCGTACCACGTGTACGCGACCAATGACATATTCATGTAACCATATTGTAATATTCATTATCTTTATTTCTCTCAAACCTCCCTTAGAGGTGAGTTGTGGTATTTATCCAACCATGCATAAGCACATTCTTATGCATAATTTTTATCACATATATATTTCAGCATTTACTTTCAGGAATGAGTCTGCATTTACAATGCTTATCACAAGTCACATTTTCAACGAATGGACTATAATCATATGAACGTGTCTCGTATTAACAGACCACATTGATACATATTCCTTCACCTTTGAAGGACCATTTTGAGAACCCTTATCGTTCTCCTTTTTACAATTACCATAGTGATGACAACTATTATTTCGTCGCTTGCTATGCCCTCGTACATGCATACAGTCATGAAAAATTATTTTCATTAGTCATCATTAGATCATCAATATGGTGCATTGGGACTCAAACCCAATGCCTTACCCATATAAAGCATGCTAGGCCATAATAAGTTTGGACTCAAATCCAACTCTTATTATCATAGTGCATCAGGACTTGAACCCGATATCTTACCCTTATAGTGCGCTGGGACTTGAACCCACCGTCTTACCCTCAATTAATAGCATAATAAACCAAAGTATACTGGGACTCGCCCTCGAGTATTTAAAAGTGTTACATCACTTTAGGCAACCATGCATACTATATAACTCTGTCATGGTTCAAGTATATTTTCTTATGCAAAACATTCAATTTAAAGAACTATTGCATGATAATCCTAGGTACTAATAATAAACAAAACCAAAGTAGCAGCAGCCAAGTGTTAAGAAATTATCATAATTCATTGACAAGCAGATCTTATAAGCGTTCACTGTCAGCTACCACTTATCATCTCTTATTCTTACATCTCTAAATTAAATGTGTCTTAAATGATGTGACGAAAGCATGTGGACATTCATAAAATATCATAACAATGAAGGAATTTTTCAACTGTTTTAGGCAAACTCACAAATTAATTTTGAAACGGTAATCCATACACATTATAACCCCATAAAATACGATTAAAAGTACTATCATATCCTTTCATCTTTATTAATATAACATCAACCAATAATAAAACATTAGAAAGAGCTATTATCAAATCAAAATCATGGGTTCATTTGGTTATAAGAGCACGTAATCGTATAAAATTTTTTTTTCTTTGGTATTGAACAGTGAGGTAAGCACAAAGAGAAAATGACAAATATCAAACATTCAGTAAATTACCTAATAGCTTGGTAGGTTTCTATTATATTACTTAATTGTCATCCTTATTTGTACGTTAAAAAAAAAGAGCATGATTAGCATAAATGAGGAATGGGTAAAATCAAAAGAAGTAGATTCCATCTATACAAACACACGTTGCTGTACCTATTAGCATACCCGATTTTGAACTTATACTCATTCTTTCGCAATTCGTGCTGATAACGTATTACGAAACTTAGCTCAAAGTAATACATAAAACAAGAAGATAGACAACAATGTAGAGAGAAAGAGAGGAGAGAATCTATTTCTTCCATGTATTCAAGTGTGTACAATGTGATGCCAAAACCCTCTATTTATAGGATTACATAGAGGCAAACAAAAGAATGTCATAAACATGCTATTAAGCATTGAGATCATGGAGGAAGATCATGGGTAAGTTATGGAGGTGTGGGAGTTACAACAATAATGGTGAGAAGTAGTGGAGGTTATCTACATAATGGAGAAGAGTAGCGGAAGTTATATTTGATTAGTGGACATCCATATAAATATATATTTCATAACAATTTTAACATTTTGTGATAACTGTCATAAGTTTTGAACATGTAAACTGTCAAGCCGGATCTGATGTATCATGGGGATTTGCGTGTATGTTCCATATTGGGATTTTCTTTTTGTAATTATTACTATTGTCTTTGTCTTATTTTATTCAATATATAGTATTTAATTGAGCACAAATGTTATTGTTTTTCAGAAGTAATTGCTACTCTCTTCGGTCCCCAATAAGTGACTATTTTACCTTTCGGACACCCATTAAGAAATATAAACTCCTAGAGAAAAAATATGTATTCACTAAATTAATCTTAATTAATTGTTACCTTGACATATTGGAATATGTAAATAAGGGCAAATTTTGAAAAAATAAAATTAATTCTTTCTTGATTATGTAAATGGATACTTAATTTGAACCAAAATAAAAAGGTAAAATGGTCACATGGTGGGCCGGAGAGAATAGTATATTACTGAAACAAGACAATTTAAGTGTCCACAGGATCACATGTCATCATTTATGATGCAATTTGTGAAAATTTGCTCCTCATGGAATAAAATGGAAAATAATCCAAATTTTATATGGACTTAATTCCATAAAATTCTGCAGGTCTCTATTTACTATAGTAGGCAAACTAGTTACATAGACCATGGCTTGCTTAGCACAAATTTCGAATTTGAAGTTAATTTGTTGCCGTGCAAACTTTAAACCTCGGCTTTGAAGTTCATCCTCGTTTAGTAAGATTATTTTTGTCCAATTATTAATTTGCTTAGCACAAAGTGGCTAAACGTGTAATTAATTTTTTAAAACTGATTATGTTTTAAACGGTGGCCCCGAAATCGGCTATTTGTGCACTTCTCCCATGAAGTGGTACCTATATAAACTTCGATGGGCCTAGTGTTAAAGAATTCTCGGCCTCACGAAGCCCAATACGCTGAAGAAGAGAGGAAGGGTGCGTATCGCAACTCCAATGGCGTTATCCTCCGTTGTTATGCCGTCGTTATCTTCTCCGCCGCCACGTACGGCGGCGATGTTGAACCGCTCCGGTTCACCGTCGTCGGCATCGTCTTCTGCATCATCCAGTGGCCGGATCTCCGGCTCAACGCCACTAGCCGTCGCTTTTATGCCGTTTGTGAGATGGACATCGCTATCGTCTTCTCGCCGGAGTTCACAAATCGTACGTATGGCACCGGAAGAAGAGAAGATGACTCGCCGTTCTCCTCTAGATTTCCCTATCGTAAGCTTCAAAAACTCTTTTTTCTGGTTATTTAACTTAAGCCAGCTGTGCTCTTCTACAGAAAATGTTATTTTTTAGATAATAGCAGCTATCGAAATTTCAGTTTAGTTTGGGTTAAGTTTAAAACCTATTATATAGAAGATAAAAAGTTCAAGTTATATACAGTGTCAGTGCAAAACTGATATTGATGCAAGAAATTAGGAGATAGTTTGAGTTAGTTTTATTTGTGTATCTGATGTAGTTAGTTAACTAGCAGTGGATTACAGCAGTTACCTTTTGTGTTGCTATATTAACCCTTATGTACTCTTTTCTTCTGGATATCTGTGAAAAATATATCCTTTAGTTTGGTTTAATTGATTACTCGGAAGCTTATCTTCCCTGTTTTTCTTTGCATTCTTCAAGTACTTGTGATTTCTGGAATTACTTCCATCAGACATCTACAGGTAAGCCTCCTTAAGATGTAGGATATGTAATCTTGAAAATAAGACATATTATGTGTTGTAAGCTTCCTTACATGCCCGTGTATTTAACTTGAACTCTTTGTTTAATCTAGTTATATTTTTGGCCAAATACATAGATAGCTCCTTAAACTTGTCACTAATTTTCACTCGGGCACTTTAACTGAGTCTATTACCTTTTAGACACTTTAACTGTGTACAAAATGTGCCAATTAAATTTAAACATCTCATGCTGAGGTGACACAGAGAGTGATTTACACTTGCTCTTGTGCACGTGATTAACTAAAATATTTAAAAGAATTCCTTTCTTCTTCTCTCTTCTTCGTTGCCAATGACCTCTGTTGCAGCAAACCTTCTAATTCAAACACTCTCAGGCTATGTGGACCAATAATCTACAAAAAATTAGAACTTCATATACCCAAAATATTGTACAAACTATGTTCAATAATATATATACTCTTTTGATTACAGGTGCATGCCATTTTTGAAGTTCAAACTATTTTGCTTTGTAATGGTATAACTACGTAGTATCATTCGTCTGTAAGAGATCAGAACCCTTTCAACCAAAAGTAGCAACAGTTTCTTCTATACCTACGTCCTTGTATGTATTCTAATTTTATTTGCGCTGGAGCAACATTATTCTTTGTTGTGTTCCTCGATCATTTTTGTTCGGAAACCCAGATCCTTACTCCTTAAAAGATGGTTGTATCTCGGTGACTTCTTGACTTTTCGGTGGTTTGTATAACGGTCTTCGGCGACTTTCTGTTGCTAGATTGCTACTAAGACAAACCTCTTGATGACAACGGGTGTCGCGCTAGTCCGTTGATCTGTCCAGCGACTCACCATTGATGGTCGTGTTTGGATTTGTGGAACTCCATCCCTGTCTCTATCACCGGCGACTTTTTCAAAAAAGTTCTCTTTGTCAAATTCCGAACCGGAGGCATAAGTTTGAAGGTTTGTTAATGGAGAGTTTTAATCTTTGAAAAGAAATGGAGAGTTCTAATTGGAGAAAAAAGAGAAAATATGGGAAGAAAAAATTAAATAAAATCAGAACAGCCACGTGTCCTCTTTCAGCTCGGTGTTATTGCCACATCGCCGAGGGTAAACATCACGTGCTTTATTCTTGTCAGAGATCATCAGGAAGGTGTTCAATTGGCACATTCTGGATACAATTTAAGTGTCTAATAGGTAATAGGCTTAGTTGAAGTGCCTAAATGAAAAATTAAGGCAAGTTTATGGGGCTGTCTATGTATTTGGCCTATATTTTTTGGTCATTTTAGTGTGAATGATTGTTGTTATTTGGATGAATTAAATTGTGATAATGCAATCAAAGTGTCAAATCCTGTCAGAAAATAGCAATTTGTTGAAGTTGCAATTTGGTTGTGCTAAAGGTAAACCTATGTTTAGGAGGTAAAAAAGTATAGTTTAATCTAGACATAGATTTTGGTTTTTTAAGTGTGAACAATTGTTTGGTTTGGATGAATTAAAATTTTCAAGTGTCTAAGTGGCAACTATTTGAAATATACAGTTTTGGTTGTGAAAATAGTACAACATTTAATTGGAGGATTAGAAGAGAATGAGTTACTACAGTAATTGGTTATTTAAGCTCAAATGGTTATTACTGGTTAGATGAATAAATTGGGAAATACTCTCAAACTACCAAGCTATCCGTTCATGCGAACCTAAACTCCCCCACCCTTATAAAAGAAAGTTAATCCCTTTGTTTGACTAGTCAGTGACTCAGTTTCTGAGAGGGCCGTTCTACTATTAGGTCTGGTCGAAACAACTTAGAAGAAAGGTTATCGACCTATATGGTTAACTTTTCATGCCGGGAAAGTCCGGTATCAGATCTGTGTAATTCAAGCCCCCTTTCCTTACCCATTTGCAGCTCCAGTGTGTGAAGTAGTCTTAGTCTGGGGATACCCTAACCACCACCATCTTTCCCCCAAGGAGGGGCCCTCATTGACTTTATTTAGCGTCCAATCTGTTATATCTCCTTCAAATTTCTCTTTTATTCCGCAAAGTGCTACCAAGAGAGTAAGGGGGAAAAAAGAAGTGCCACCAAGAGAGTAAGGGGGAGAAAAAGAGAAGCGGAATAATTTTGGTAGTATCTTCCCATTCCCCTTCCTCTTCAATGCTCCTGCCCGTTCAGTACCCGTCCCGTCACACATCATGGCCTCTTTACTCTCCTCTGATTCTCTTTCCTTCCTCCATACAATGCACCAAGACTCCTTTCCCTCAGCATCTCAGGCAGTCAGCTGATTCTCTTTCGCTCCTTCTTTGGACGCACTACTCCAATGGAGGACATGATTTGAAGAGTTTTTTTTTTATTCTTTTATGATAAGATAAATGATTGGAAGGAAGGATAGGGGAGGCTGTCAGACTTAGGAGGAGGGAAGGGGAGGTTAGTAGATTTACATGCTGCAATCTGCTTCATAGGCTACTCCACGTGATTGCTTGCTCGATTTGTCGACCACTGGCCTTCATGCAGCCCTTTTGTTTGCAGTAACACTCTTCCTATCTCTCCTTTTTTTTTTTTGCACAATAAGTGGGTCTAATGACATCTCTCCATAGCCTTATTTATTCTTTCTGAACTTCCATGACCATCATATAAGGAGACACAATTTGATAAAAGTTACTCATCCTCTTATTAAGAGGTATTGTCTCTTCCAAGTAGCTAACCTTTATATGTCATGAATCTGGTACTAGAGAGGGACAGCACTTTGATGCATATGTTATTACTTTTAGACAAGTCACTCTTTGTCCAAATAATATGCAGACCTGATTTTGCTTCAAAAATCAATTAGTTAGTTATGCTTTCTTAGCCTCAAAACCTTTCATTGTGTCATTGATTAAAGAACTTGTGAAATAGTCAGTGACTGGTCCATCTTTGCTCTACACAATAGCGACTTTAATCATAGGGCCACAACCTTGTCTATCATCCTGCTCAATGATTCCTTAAAAAGTGTAGTATAAACAGAAAGGAAGAGATAGGATCTCCCAACTGTAAATCCCTGTATGATGGAGAGAAAGCTTCCGCGCTCTCTTTTTCCCTTTTTTTAGAAAGCTTCTGATTCTTTGGTATTATATTCTAAGGAGTCATACATTTCCGTTTGGGCCAATTGGCTGCCTTTATACAACCACCAAATGTGCTCACACCAGGTGGGTTCTAACTTCTGAGTTAGCCCCAGGCCTTTAACAAAGACAAAGATGTAAATACGATTTTGGTCTTTTATTTGTTATTTTCTAGTCGTTTCTAAAAGCCCTTAGACATGTCTTTGTGGAAGTTTCCTGATGTCCTCATCAACAACCTTCTTGCAATATGCTTTCAGAGGAGTTTGAGCTGATACATCGTTGTGCTTTCTATAATAATACCATCCAAAGCATTTTGATGAAACATGTTTATTGGCAGGAATGGGAAAGGCCCAAGCCCGGACGAAGACCAGATATCTTTCCCCAATTCAGTCCCATGAAAACTCCCTTGCCACCTCCTCTGCCCGCTGATCCTCCGGAAGAGGATGAGGAAGAAGAAGAAAAGAAAGAGGAAGAGGAAGATCCTGAGAAAGAAGATCCAGATAAACCAGATGAGTAGTAGCGCAATCTGATGAGTTTGTTTCAGCTAGTCAGGCTTGCATCTACTATTGTTATCTTAGCTGTTGCGGCTTAAATGTGCTGGCCCTAGTCCATGTTCTAGAAAGAATTAATGGCACGAAGAGTTCTCGACTTCAAAATTTTGTAATACAGTCTACTATCTGGACAATCAGTAGTGCAATATATTGTTTTTTTCGCATTTACTATTCTTAGCCTACACGCTGCATCATATGTAGTATGTACATTGGCTCTATTCATATTGTACATTGAGTTGATGGCATGAGTAGTTCTTGACTTCAAAAATATGGCACAAGGAGGTGCTGTCAAAAATATTTGGCGAAATATATAAACAGCCCCTTCAAGTTGTCCACAACGGTCAGTTGAACACCTTAACTTGCCATATGACCAGTCAGATACTTCTATTTAACACAGGTGTGTCTCGTGAACACTTGAATTCAACAAGCCTCATGTGTGAGTTACACTCGCGGATGACATGTCAATCTGACAAATTATTGAATGACACGTGTATTTCTTAAATAAATTATACTCTATATTAAGAAATAGTTGTTATTTTTAATTAAAAAATAAGAAAAAGACCCCACTTTCCCAAATCAGACCTTAAACCACCCTAAACCCTAGACCAACACCATGGACGCTGGACACCATGGAAGTTGCAGCTTCCTCTTTATACATTGCCACCGGAAACCTCTACTCCATGCCTAAACACATCGAGGAATGCCAAAAGGAGCAGAATAAACAAAACCAGACGAAGGTTTTAGATGGGTTCTTTTCAGTTTTTCGGATTTGGGGTCGATAAGGGAAATAGAAGCAATTGAACATGGTGGCTGTGCTTGTACCAGACACCATTTTAAGTGTTTGAGTCACTTTCACATATTGCGTTACTGTATCTATCAATATTTGGTGCTTCTGATATTTAACCTTCCGATTGTCAGTTGTGGATGTGTAAATTTGGAGCTACCGCATTCATTACAAGCTTTTCAGGTTAGTCCAATTGTTTTTGGATTTGTTTAATGGCGGATGGTGATTGTGGATTTGTGATGGTGATGGAAATTTTTGTGTTTTTCCTGTCATGGAGGGTGAAGATGGGTGAAGATGAAGAAGATAATTGGGTACAATATGAAAGAAGAAAGATTGCAGAAAATTTTCCGTTAAGTACTCACTTTTCCGGCCAAAAAGTTTCCGGTGATATTGCTTCCTTCTCTAATGGAGAAGATAATTGGGGCAACGCAGAAGATGGAGGAAATTGGAGGAGGTGGTGGGGTCCACATTGAATTATGGAAAAAAAAAAAAAAAGATAAACCTAATTTTCAAGATCTTCATGCGCTTAGATGTAGGTGTAACAAACAAAATTTGCCATGTCAGCGGAAGGGGTTTAAGAGAATATACTTCTACCAAGTAGAGGTGTCTGACTGGTCATATGACAAGTTAAGGTGTTCAACTGACCGTTGTGGACAACTTGGAGGGGCGCTTTATGTATTTCGCCAAAATATTTACGAGGTACCAACAAAATATCCCTTACTATTCTTGAAGGAAGTCTTGAGTTCTAACACTGTTTCAGCATCGCTTACAGAATTCTGTTTACACCAAAAACGAAACAAAAGCAAACAGTTCATCTTGGTCTTCTGAATAGAGTTTCAATTATATACAAAACACCTAGCATTTTGCTCTCTCCGAACTGTCCACCATACAAACAACTAACTTTCTACTTGACTCAATTGATATATCCATTTAAATGAGACCCATTATGACAGAAAAAAAGCAACAATCAGGTAAAATTGGGATATAACTTTGAGAGAGACTGAAGGGACTGCTGCTTGCAATTGGTTGTTCCAGTTATTGTGAGACGAAAGTTCAATGAAAAAGAAAACCAATGCGCCTAATTTACAGTTTGTCTATTTATTAGTTCTGGTCTAAATATACAGGAAATTCTTACAGTCAGACCTACCAATAATACGAAGTGATATCATTCAAATAAAATATCTCTTTTCCTTGTTCTTTGTTAAGTACGAAATGGTCTATGAAACTGGATGAAAAGAGCCTAGTTTCTACCGCAGCTTCAATTAAAAATACAAAATCACACACTTCAAACTGAAACTCGATTCCAAGGAATTGAACTATTGCTCAACACAAGAAGTAAAACTATTGCTCGACACTAAAAGCAATCAGTACAAATTACGGACAAGAAAAATGGTTGCGAACTGAAATGCTAGAATACATAAAATCAGAAGAAATCAAATCTACTACATAATCGCCTAGGTATGAGAGAGCAAGGAATTATCAGATTTGACAAAAATAAGTTCTGGGCACTAGCTTTAAAATGATACATGAACTGAGAAATATGTCTTTTCTCAGCTTCCTTCGATCATGCAAAATACTTGAGGATTACTACAGCTCTGTTTCTTGCTTTATCTCTTCCTTGAACCAGAAGATCCTTTACTTCTTGCTTTATCTCCTTCATCGAGTGCTGACTTTTGCCTCCGTTGAATATCTTCAACATATCGGCGCCATAAGGATTCCCTATCTTTTCTAGGCATTTTTGAGTACCTGGGATCGGCTTTGAGAAGTTGTTTGGCTGTTGACCAAGAGTTTGCAACTGTTTTACCATCTTCTGTTTCTCGGGAACAAGCTTCAGCAGTTAAAACCTCGGCTAGTAAAGCTTTAAACTCCTGTGCGCTCCGCTGAAAATCAAAATACATAGTTTGAGAATAAGAAAAAGAAAACCATGTACTTGATCAATAAGGAAGAACGTAAACTGCGTGAGAAGGACAAACAGAGGTACACCTCATTTAAATGATGCAAACTGCTAGTAACTATGGAGGGCCCACGTGACATTTTTCTCTTTGGTAGATTTTAGGTACTTAAACACCAATATGGCATCCTCATTGCAGTCAAAATCAAACAAGATTTGGCAAAGAAAAGAAAAAAAGCAGAAAGAATGTCAGAACAGGGCTTTGTCAGCCAGCAAATAAAGTTTTTCGAAAAGATTGTTGCTTAGATATAGTTCTTCAAAAATATATAGATAATTTCTTATCCACTAGGTGTATCGATTATCACAAAATATATTACATTCATTTTCAATATGATTAAGTTAACACATAACTTATACTCCCTCTGTTGCAATTTATGTGGTGTATTTTGACTGGACACGGAATTTTAGAAAGAAGACTAAGCTTTTGAAACTTGTGGTCTTAAACAAGCTAGGAGATTTTTGTGGCTAAAAAAGCATATCATTAAGGGACCGTTTGGTAGGATGTACATGTATTAGCTTTGGTATTATTAATCCCTTGTTTGGTAGTGTTTTTCAACCTATGTATAAGTAATACAGGTATTAGTTATACACCCTATTTAGTATTATCCTATGTATAACTAATACATAGCAAACCATGGCATTAGTAATACCATCGTTTTTAATACATGGATAAGCATTTATACACCCCTAGGCAATGCATGTTATTTTTAATAAACCAAACCAAACAGTGGATAAGAACTAATCACAGCATAACTAGTCCAGTATTTCTAATACACCCTATTCGGTATTATTCTTATACACCCTGCCAAACGACCCCTATGGGTGAAAACAGATAACAAGGATTACATAACTTAAAAAAGAACAATCGAGGTTTCAAACGGTAAAGCTTATCTATCAGTAGTCATCTTACCTCATACAATATCTTCACATGTTCTCGAAAGAGCTTTTCCAAGTCAGACTGATCCAAATGAGGATTAGCTGCACGTCCTTGGGGATCCTTCTCTAATTTAGGTTTTGACTCTGTCCAAGATGCCTTAGGAGCAAGAGAAAGATATCTCAACAATTTGAAGATAAACTGAAAACTAGTACCATCCAGAAAATAAAAAGGAATAACCTTTTCAACAATTCTACCACATAATAAACACAATCCTTCCATACTTCATCAGTAAAGGTAAAGCCAAAAAGATAAGAATTTTTAAAGTTAAATAAAATATCATCTGATGAGCACCAAGTGGGAAATGCTATTTACTGCAAGTTAAAAGATCACAATTATAACCACGTGCTGCACAGAACCGGTAATTACACAAAATAAGCTCTTCCGAGAAGCTAAGCACCTCCTGTAAAGATGGATGGTACTCTTTCCACCAAACAAAGATCTTTCAAATTTTATTGTTTCTGAATAAAGATGAGGCGGATCTTCTGGAACTATCTAAAACTGTCTAATCAAGTAATGGGATATGATCCATGACATATGTTCTAAGATATGTCATTGTAATATTTTTGGGGTCTCTAAAAGTTAATACCTGAGGATCTTTAATTATTTCAACCAGCAAAGCTTGATAGGATTCAACAGCTTCCTTTCTACGAGCTTTTGACCGCACCCTCTCCACTTCTTGCTCTTCTCTTTCTTTACGTTTTCGCAAAGCTCGTTCTCTTTCCTTCAATTTCTCCTAAAAGCGTCAAGCAGAACACCATTAACGCCTTCAACTGAACAATCACATCAAAATGTGGAATCAAACAGAACCTGGCGTACTACATTCTAAATTTGCCAAAACTTTGGACAAAATACACACATACAGGTGAAATAAGTAAATGCATTAAAATCACAAAGTGCAGGTTTTTAGTTTTCTACCAGGATTAAATTAATAGGGAGAATCAGCAGGAAACCTTAGTTGGAGGCACAAAGACAGTGGCTCAGATCAGCAGACGGAAGAGGCAACCAGTGAATAAATACAAATAAACATAATTAAGCTACTAAAATGGGTGATTTATGCTGATTAATGTGTATTTTTTGTTTGAACTACTTTCCTTTATAATGATCACTTTACTGACGAGATTTGAAGTTAAGGGGATAAGTTGGTATTCTATAGCTCCATACACTTAATAAAAGTAATCGGTTAGAGATATTTGTACGCGAGGAGGTGAGAAGTGGGACTCTATAAATGGTTAACAATGATCGAGTAGGCCTTGTTAGAGTTTGTTAGATTCCACATTGGTTTAGAGTATGGGCTATTGTCTCCTTATATTGTCCTGCACAATCCCCACCTTTTGAGCTAATAGGGATTAAGTTCAAGGTCTATTTTCTTTACATGGTATTAGAGCCAAAAGTCCCTACTCTCGGTTTGACTTTGCCATATGTTAGGCTCCCCTGTTAGGTTATCCATGTTCTAGATGTCCGGTCCGGGCGTGCAGGGAAGTTAGAGTCGGTATGGGTTGTTGTCTCTTTATGTGGTTTTGGCAATCCTCTCATGACCTAGCTTTTGGAGTTAGATTCAAGATCCATTT